AAAGTGCTCATGATCCTTAAGACGAAGATATTAGCAGAAGTGGTTGTGATGTGGTATTGGTAGATGTGGTATTGGTAGATGTGGTATTGGTAGATAGGTGGCGGCTAACACCCCCTTCTGTAACTTTCTTTGTGTCTGTCCATCCCTTTCATATTCTCCTCTTACCCAGATTCTACAATTAATTGCTTATATTTTGTGGGGTAAAGAAATTTGTCTGGTGTGAACTAAGGAAAAGGGACCTTAAAAATGAACTTTGAGGTCTATGCTAGACACTGTCCTAAGTGATTTACATATTAATTCATTTAATGAACTTAATATTGATAGGTTTTTTCAGCTATACAGGGTAGAGCTCAGAGCAGAGTCCCAGGGTTCAGCATCTGCTCAAGTTCATAAAGATAGCAAACCATAGTTTTGTTTTTTTGAATCAGGTTCTTGGGGCGTAACTTACCCAGGCTGACCTGCAGCTCCTGGGCCCCGGTGGACTGCCCAGCCCCCCGCAGCTGAGGCTAGATTGCTCTGACTAGACAGATGCGCAGCCTGTCTTGAAGCTGTTTTAGATGTTACTTTTTTATAAGATATCTTATACTAAAGCTTCTCTTGATAATCTTTTTTTTTTTTTAATTAATTTCAGGGAAGGGTCTACAGGGTGTTCAGGATCTCACTACTAGATTGGACTGTAGTGATCTGCCTGTTTACAGCCTCCCAAGTGCTGGGCTTACAGGCACTTGTCACCACACCCAGTCCCAGTTGCCCTCTCAGCATGCCCTGGGGGTGGGGCCGGCACAGCAGGCCTAGGGATTGAACCCTGGCCCCTGTGCCTGCTTACAGGTGCTTTAATCCACTGGGCTATTTGGCCGGCCCAATTTGGTCATCTTGAGAGGAGTCCTCCATACTCAGTTAAGATGATAGTGCAGAGAGAATTTAATATTTTTTTAAATTTTGTATCACTTATTGTACTTTGCTGTGATAGTGCCTTCTGAGGCGGTTGCATTTTATAGGCTCTCAGTGACTATAACA